GAGAGAGAGAGAGAGAGAGAGAGAGAGAGAGAGAGAGAGAGAGAGAGTGAGTGGAAGGAACGAACGACAAAACTAACTAACTAACTAACTAACTCACTCACTCACTCACTCACTCACTCACTCACTCACCAACCCACCCACCCACCAACCAACCAACCAACCAACCCTTCCTTCCTTCCTTCCTTCCTTCCTTCCTTCCTTCCTTCTTCCATCCTTCTATCCATCCATCCATCCATCCACCCATCCACCCATCCACCCACCCACAGCCGGACTCATCTTCATCAAAGGACTCCCGAGGACGGCTCTATGTCTGTTTCAGCTGGTGAGTTTACGTTTGTTAACCTGACTGAAAAATGTTGGATTTTATACCTGGATTATTGAGCATGGACTTTGTTACGTTTGTTAACGTTATTGCAGCTTAATACGTACATCGCGGTGAAATAACGCTAACTTTAAGATATTGGTGTGTAAATATTTTTCATCTATGTAGCTAGCTAAACTCAGAAGCTAACTAAAGATTGACAATAACAGATGAAGCTTAGCTTGTAAAACTGCCCATCCATCCAGTCAGCTGCTTAAACAGTTCATCTAATGTTCACCGTTTGTCCTCTCAGGAGGTTCTGACCCAGATGTGAGGGCAGACAGAAAAGTGAGGTGGGGGCCACAGGACAATCAAACTTTGTTGTTTAAAGTTTGCTGTCTTTCTACAGTGGAGCTGCACGCTGGAGGTAAGTTGAGTTGTAAAAGATTTTGTTGACCAGTTAAACTTTTATCTCTCAGCCTAGATAATGTTTTTTGAGCAATAATAACACAACCATGTTATTGTGTATGTTTTGTTCTCATGTCATTTAGGGAGATGATCAGAGCCCTAAACCCCAGAGAACCACAGAGAAGATTCAGGCAGAGACACAGAGGTGCAGATGTCTGCATCAACTCTAACCTCATTGAATCCAGTGACCTGCTTGTGGGATGTGAGAGACAATGTCAGTGCTGTCCAATGACAACCAGGTATCTGTGTGTGCAACAAGCATCATCTGCAGCCTCAGAGTGAACATGTTCTACTGTTGGAGACACAATCAGCCAGGAGCAGACTTGTTTGTGTCCAGAGAAAGAAGACATGTTGTTTCTGAAGACAAACTGTTAAGTGAAAAGGTCCTCAGTGTGTAACAGTGAACATTAGAAACTGACGTGTCACTTGTTGTTTGCAACTGTTCTTTTGAACTGGAAATTATTTGTTTATTTTAATGTAAGAAAACTGCTTGGAATAGAAAAGTACCAAAGTTAAAAAATAAAATTCACTATGTACTGTAATGTGTAATGTAATTTTATTCTTGTTAGAATTTATATTAATTACAAAATTGGTACCAAAAAAAGAACCATCCAGGAACCGACACCGAAGTGAAGGTACCGACACCGGTACCGATGCCGATTTTTTTAGAAAGGTACCCAGCCCTAGCTACAGCCATTTCTTCCTGTCACGAAGGCTTCGGTAAAAGAACAGTTTTTAATCACCTGCTGATGAAGCGTTTTCTAAAAGGTGTACAAAGGCACAGACCTGTGTCACGCCCATTAACTCCTCAGTGGGACTTAACAATGGTTCTGCAGGCCCTGATCAAAGCTCCTTTTGAGCCGTTAGGTCAGGTTTCGATTAAATTCTTGTCACTTAAAACAGCCCTGCTGTTGGCTTTGACATCTGCAAAGAGAGTGAGTGATTTATCTGCCCTCTCTGTTGCTCCGTCATGCCTCAGGATTCAGGCTGATGGCAGTTCAGCTGATCTGAGACCTAACCCAGCGTTTATGCCTAAAAACATCACAAACTCATTTAAATCGAGAATGATAACGTTGGAGTTTTTTTTTCTTCCTCCCTACAAATCAGAAGAAGCATCTTTTCATCTTCTCTGCCCTGTGCGTGCGTTGGCATGTTACGTAGCACGCACGGCCACACTGCGTCAGACTTATCATTTGTTTGTGCATTATAGAGACGCCTCTGCAGGTCGACCGTTATCCACCCAGCGCCTGTCACACTGGCTGTGTGAGGCCATTTCTGAAGCTTACAGAGCATCAGGTTTAGAGCCCCCTGACAACCTCAGGGCGCACTCGACCAGAGGAATCGCATCCTCGACAGCCTTGCATAATGGTATGACAATGCAGGATATTTGCACTACGGCCACATGGTCACCGCCCTGCTCATTTATTTGCTTCTATTTGCGTGATGTGTCGGCTCGCTCCATGACGCATTCTGTCCTCGGTGCCTTAACAGAATGAATCTCATTGTTTTCATGGAACTTCGTTTAAACTCACATCTGACTGCATGCAATTACAGTGTGAGATATTTGTTATCAGTTACAAGTTTGTGACTGTTGGTTTTTGTTCTAATGTCACTAATCAGTTCATGAATACTGTTACCAATCAGTTCATTTGATTACTAATCAGTTCATTTATTTTGAATCTGTTCACTGTTTTTTCAGCCTCTCCCCTTTTTCCCGTCGAGAACTTTTCTCTCCGGGCGCCCATGTACACGGAATGCGTAAATTACGCAGCACGCATCTGTACATGGTGCACGTAATTACGTAGCGCGTATTTACTCACATGGAGGGCTGAGGGATAAAATGTTTTTTACTGCAAGCAGGCGCTTCATACGGTGTTCGAATGGACCCAGTGAGGCAACGACTACATCCTGCTTCGCCCTTAACCCACAAGCGACAGCCTTAAAGGGCGAAGCCTATACGAAATAGAACATTGGTTACGTACTGTAACCCCAGATTCTATGAGTATAGGCTTAGCCCTTTAAACTCTGGGCCTCACTGGCTCCTAAATGGCTGAAGAAAAAAGCTATTTGGGAGCCGATTACCCGCTCTCAACGTAATTTATACGGACCGGGTGGGGCCCACACGACAGGTGTGCGTGGACTAAATTTTTCAGTGCAACGGTTTGCGTGACGGAATAAAACTCACAAGCGACAGCCTTAAAGGGCTACGCCTATACTCATAGAATCTGGGGTTACAGTACGTAACCAACGATTTTATTCTATCACTACCACAAAAAACGTTTCAGGCTCAGGATTTTTTTAAATTTTTTTTATTTTTTTCACTTTAAGCGCTGAGTGTGTATGTGTGAGTGTATCTGTGAGTTTGTATGCGAGTGTGTGTGTATAAGTGAATGTGCATTGAATGTGTTTTGAACAAAACACATTTGTCTACAGAAAAGCCCTGATGGCTGCAGAAATATAACTTAAGTGTGCACTGTTCATCCAACGTAGGAAGTTAGTACTAAACAATTATTAGCAGGTTATATTTCAGATAACGCACATAAATTCCACTACAAAAGAAGTTTGTATTGGGAAATGACTCTAGCCGTCTACTCTGAGTCGTTAGTCTCCTACTCAAAAACTTATTGAGAAGGCTGTAAATTACAGTTTTCACATTGATTTTGTTTGCCTGTATTGTTGCCACTGATGTGGTTTTTATTGTTCAAGTATAGTTGGCGACAAGAAAGTTCATAAATTGAAATTTATAACATAGCAACCTTCATCATGCGCAAGTTGATGCTCAATGATAAAACTACTAAAGGTTGACACTGGAAGGGTGATTTTGCTGTTACGTAACTTTGTTAAAGTCAAAAGGGTGACATTAAAAAATGCTTTATCACAGGTGGTCCTTTCTTCAGAACATCCATCCATCCATCCATTATCTTTTACCCGCTTCTTCCATCTTGAGTCACGGGGGTCGCCAGTGCCCATGTCCAGCAATCACTGTGCGAGGGGTGGGGTACACCCTGGACAGGTCACAAGTCCATCACAGGGACACATAGAGACAAACAACCACTCACACCTAGGGATAATTTAGAGTTGCTAATCAGCCTAACATGCATGTTTTTGGTAAATGGTAAATGGACTGTACTTATCTAGCGCCTTTCTATCTTGGCGAGATTCTCAAAGCGCTTTACAACACAATCTGTGCCCACATTTACCCATTCATACATCACTCTACTAGATCTCTACAAAGCTAATTGAACAAATCATTCTAAAGAGACTAATCCGAGCTTTTATCACATTCCTACACCGATGGGAGACACATCAGAGGCAACGAGGGGTTCAGTGTCTTGCCCAGGGACACTTCGACATGTGACTGCTATTGGATTCGAACCCCCAACTCTCGCATTGGAGGATGACTGCTCTAACCCCTCAGCCACAGCCGCCCACACACTGGTCTGTGGGAGGAAACCGGAGTACCTGGAGAAAACCCACGCATGCATGGAGAGAACATGCAAACTCCACCCAGAAAGGCCCCTGGACTGGGATTTTAAACCAGGGACCTGCTCGCTGAGAGGCAGCAGCTCTGCCAGTTGCGCCACCGTACTGCCCCTTGTTCAGAACAGAAACGGAAAAACTTGAAATTGCAGTATTTTTCTGCCTTTAAAATGGTTCTTTTGTAGTAATATGCTGGTATCCTCAATGTATATGCAGACAAAAAATGGTGATTGTGAGGGTAAAATAGTGTGTGTGCACATCCACCTGCATGTGTGTGAGTGTTGAAGTAACATTGTCCTCAATGTACATGTGTTTCAGTGGTTCCTGCCTATGTTTGGTGCTGATTAAAAGAAGAAACTCCTCAAGACTGAAGGCCTGATGTGGACCAGCAGGACCCAGAGCCTCTTATCATAGAGTGGAAGAGAAGACCCTTGGACCAGTGTGGTGGGAGACCATCTCTATATGGAGAAGACTGATCTCAGGTTTTTGGTCTCTACAGTTCCTTTAAAGAGTGAGGAGGATAATAAAAAACTTACTAGGAACCCAGATTTAAAGACTCACAAAGACACTTCCAGCTCTTCAAAGACTGACGTTAATGAGGATGATGAAGAGGATGGTGAACTGACCAATCTTGATTCTCCGCTAAAGAACTCATCAGACTCTGAATCAGAACGTGAAGACAGCATCAAAGACTGGAAGGAGAGCAGGGCTCCTGAAAAAGAGGTAAAAACTGTCAACAAATCTTTGAGCTGCTCTGAGTGTGGTAAGCAGTATGTCAGCAACTCGAGACTTCAAAGACACATGGCAAGTCATTCAGGAGTGAAGTCTTCAAGATGTCTGCTTAATAAAAAATGTGTTGGAGAGAAGAAAAATTTAGAGTCATGCAGGAAAGTCCAGGCAAGGCCAAAATCAATAAGATGTGATGACTGTGGTAAAAGATTTACTTCGAAAGCAGATTTAAACAAACACATGAGAGTCCACACAGGAGACAAATCATTTCCTTGTGATCTTTGTGGACATAGATTTAGTTGTGAGACGTCTTTAAACACACACTTGAAAGTCCACACAGGAGAAAAACCGTTTCCTTGTGATCTTTGTGGACATAGATTTAGACATAAGACCAATTTAATCAGACACATGAGAGTCCACACAGGAGTCAAACCGTTTCCTTGTGATATTTGTGGACAAAGATTTAGGTGTACAACAAATTTAAACACCCACATGAGAGTCCACACAGGAGACAAACCATTTCCTTGTGATCTGTGTGGAAAAAGATTTAATCAGAAGTCAAATTTAAGCTCACACATGAAAGTCCACACAGGAGAAAAACCATTTACTTGTGATCTGTGTGGAAGAAGATTTAGATGGAAATCATATCTAAACTCACACATGAGAGTCCACACAGGACACAAACCATTTCCTTGTGAACTTTGTGGACAAAGATTTCGTTGGAAGGTACATTTAAACTCACACATAAAACTCCATACAGGACACAAGCCATTTCCTTGTGATCTTTGTGGCCAAAAATTTAGTCGGAATACACATTTAACCTCACACATGAGAGTCCACACAGGAGACAAGCCATTTCCTTGTGAAGTTTGTGAACAAAGATTTAGTCATAAGACTGCTTTAAACTCACACATGAGAGTCCACACTGGAGACAAACCGTTTCCTTGTGAACTTTGTGGACATAGATTTGGCCAGAAGTCAAGTTTAAACTCGCACATGAGAGTCCACACAGGAGACAAACCGTTTCCTTGTGAACTTTGTGGACATAGATTTGGCCAGAAGTCAAGTTTAAACTCACACATGAGAGTCCACACAAGAGTGAAAACTTTTGTACTGTAAATATTAAAATAACTATTATAGGCAATTAGATGCAACTGGTATCTCATCAGCCAATTACTTTTTTTTTTGATTTTATATAAAAAAAAAAATTGACAATTTTCATCAAGTTTTCCAAACTGAGTTTGTTGTTGAATTTTCCTGCTTTAATTTGTCTCAACACAGAAACAGGTGAAATTAAAGATGTCTTCAAAAATGGTCTTTGTCAGACACACGTCACACAGCCTACAGAGGTGTGTATATGACTAGAAGTTCAGTCCACTTTTATAGCTTGTTCATGTGATGACAACCGACAAGTACAATGGATCAGAAAGGAATTGTGCTCTGTGTTCTTTGATAACTGGGCTGTTGTTTACATACTCTGTTTTATTTAAATTAAACCTGTACCAGTTAGACAAGATATCAATCATGAGATGTATTTATTCGTCAGATAAAACAGGAGATACATGATTCATCATTTTATCAAAACACTCTGAACATAGTATTTTTCCACTGTGTAGACAGGCACATACATATGAATGTTATATTTAAGGTAAAGTGCAAAAGTTCTCTATAACAGAGTTGCTCCTATTTTCTCAAGAATTCTTTAAAAATTGTAAAATTAATTTAACATTTGTTCATGTTTTGGACTCTAGATGTTTGTTCTAAAATTCTAGTTCAGTGGCTGTGCAATAATCGGAGAGAACCAACCAACCAATCAAATTACTAAGATTTCTAAAATGGCAGACCCCATACAATGTGTTATTCATGTAATTCCAGAGGAAAAAGTGATTTAATTGATGTTTTTGAGAGAAGTTAATAAAAAATCAAGGAATGTTTGTAAAGGTAAACACCAAGATGGTACAACAACCTACCACCACTAAACATTTTAAAAGTTACAAAGATGCTTCACTGATAAGACTATAAAAGAAATTTCCATAAAGTGAGCTAAAAACATGAACACTAGACCTGACGACTTCTGCAAGGCCACACCACCATAAAAAGTGCCATATTGTCTTTTCAATTCAGGTCAATTCAATTTATTTATCCATCCATCCATTTTCTTCCGCTTATCCGGGGTCGGGTCGCGGGGGTAGCAGCCTAAGTAGGGAGGCCCAGACTTCCCTCTCCTCAGCCACTTGGGCCAGCTCTTCCGGGGGAATCCCGAGGCGTTCCCAGGCCAGCCAAGAAACGTAGTCCCTCCAGCGTGTCCTGGGTCTTCCCCTGGGCCTCCTTCCGGTGGGACGTGTCCGGAACACCTCACCAGGGAGGCGTCCAGAAGGCATCCTAAACAGATGCCCAAGCCACCTCAACTGGCTCCTCTCGATGTGGAGAAGCAGCGGCTCTACTCCGAGTCCCTCCCGGATGATCGAGCTTCTCACCCTGTCTCTAAGGGAGAGCCCAGACACCCTGCGGAGAAAACTCATTTCGGCCGCTTGTATCCGAGATCTCATTCTTTCGGTCACAACCCAAAGCTCATGACCATAGATGAGGGTGGGAACGTAGATCGATCGGTAAATTGAGAGCTTCGCCTTTTGACTCAGCTCTCTCTTCACCACGACAGACCTGTACAGCGCCCGCTTCACTGCAGACGCTGCACCTATCCGCCTATCGATCTCACGCTCCATTTTTCCCTCATTCGTGAACAAGACCCCAAGATACTTGAACTCCTCCACTTGGGGTAGGACCTCCTCCCTGACCCAGAGAGGGCACTCTACCCTTTTCCGGCTCAAGACCATGGCCTCGGATTTGGAGGAACTGATCTTCATCCCGGCCGCATCGCATTCGGCTGCAAACCGCTCCAGCGAAAGCTGTAGATCACGATCTGATGAAGCCAATAAGACCACATCATCTGCAAAAAGCAGAGACGCAATTCTGAGGCCACCAAAACGGATCCCCTCAACACCTTGGCTGCGCCTAGAAATTCTGTCCATAAAAGTTATGAACAGAATCGGTGACAAAGGGCAACCTTGGCGGAGTCCAACTCTCACCGGGAACAAGCCCGACTTACTGCCGGCGATGCGGACCAGGCTCTGACACCGGTCATACAGGGACTTAACAGCCCGTATCAAAGGGCCTGGTACCCCATACTCCCAGAGTACCCCCCACAGGGCCCCCCGAGGGACGCGGTCGAACGCCTTCTCCAAGTCCACAAAGCACATGTAAACTGGTTGGGCAAACTCCCACGCACCCTCCAGGACCCTGCTGAGAGTGTAGAGCTGGTCCAGTGTTCCACGGCCAGGACGAAAACCGCACTGTTCCTCCTGAATCCGAGGTTCGACTATCCGACGGACCCTCCTCTCCAGAACCCCCGAATAGACCTTACCAGGGAGGCTTAAGAGCGTGATTCCCCTGTAGTTGGAACACACTCTACGGTCCCCCTTTTTGAATAGGGGGACCACCACCCCGGTCTGCCAATCCAGGGGAACTTCCCCCGATGTCCATGCAACATTGCAGAGTCGCGTAAGCCAACACAACCCTACAACATCCAGAGCCTTAAGGAACTCTGGGCGGATCTCATCCACCCCTGGGGCCCTGCCACCGAGGAGCTTTTTAACCACCTCGGTGACCTCAGCACCAGAGATTGGAGGGCCCGACCCAGAGTCCCCAGGCTCCGCTTCCTCAGTGGAAGACGTGCCGGTGGGATTGAGGAGGTCTTCAAAGTATTCCGCCCACCGACCCACAACATCCCGAGTTGAGGTCAGCAGCACACCACTCCCACTATAAACAGTGTTGGTGGCATACCGCTTCCCCCCCTTGAGACGCCGGATGGTGGACCAGAAACGTCTCGAAGCCGTGCGGAAGTCGTTCTCCATGGCCTCTCCGAACTCCTCCCATGCCCGAGTTTTTGCCTCAGCAACCACCCGAGCCGCATGTCGCTTGGACTGCCGGTACCCATCAGCTGCTTCCGGGGTCCCACAGGCCAAAAAGGCCCGATAGGACTCCTTCTTCAGCCTGACAGCATCCCTCACCGACGGTGTCCACCATCGGGTTCGAGGGTTGCCGCCGCGACAGGCACCAACAACCTTGCGGCCGCAGCTCTGGTAAGCCGCCTCGACAATAGAGGCACGAAACATGGTCCACTCAGACTCAATGTCCCCCACCTCCCTTGGAACATGTTCAAAGTTCTCCCGGAGGTGGGAGTTGAAACTCCGTCTCACAGGAGACTCTGCCAGACGTTCCCAGCAAACCCTCACAATACGTTTGGGCCTACCAGGTCTGACCGGCATCCTCCCCCACCATCGGAGCCAACTCACCACCAGGTAGTGATCAGTTGACAGCTCCGCCCCTCTCTTCACCCGAGTGTCCAAGACATGTGGCCGCAGATCAGATGAGACGATGACAAAGTCGATCATCGAACTGCGGCCTAGGGTGTCCTGGTGCCAAGAGCACATATGGACACTCTTATGCCTGAACAAGGTGTTCGTTATTGACAATCCATGACGAGCACAGAAGTCCAACAACAGAACACCACTCTGGTTCAGATCAGGGGGGCCGTTCCTCCCAACCACACCCCTCCAGGTCTCACTGTCATTGCCCACATGAGCATTGAAGTCCCCCAGCAGAACAAGGGAGTCCCCAGAAGGTGCACTTTCCAGTACCCCCTCTAAGGACTCCAGAAAGGGTGGATAATCTGAACTGCCGTTTGGTGCATAAGCACAAACGACAGTCAGAACCCGTCCCCCCACACGTAGGCGGAGAGAGGCCACCCTCTCATTCACCGGGGTGAACCCCAACACACAGGCACCAAGTTGGGGGGCAATTAGTACGCCCACGCCTGCTCGGCGCCTCTCACCAGGGGCAACTCCAGAGTGGAAGAGTGTCCAGCCCCTCTCAAGGAAACTGGTTCCAGAGCCCGAGCCATGCATAGAGGTGAGTCCGACTATTTCTAGCCGGAACCTCTCAGCCTCACACACCAGCTCAGGCTCCTTCCCCACCAGTGAGGTGACATTCCACGTCCCAATAGCCAGCTTCTGTAGCCGAGGATCAAACCGCCAGGGTCCCCGCCCTCGGCCACCACCCATCCCACATTGCACCCGACCCCTTTGGCCCCTCCCACAGGTGGTGAGCCCATGGGAAGGGGCAATTTATTTATATAGCGCCAAATCACAACAAAGTTGTCCCAGTGCACTTTACAGAAACATTCACATACATAGAAAAGCCAATTAGTAAAGTTCTCTATCTAAGGAAGCCAGCAGAAACGTTGAATCTTCACTTCGTTGCTGTCTCCCATTCCTGCTAATAATGAGAGCACTTCACAGCGGCTGCCCAGATGCAACAACCATGTGTTGCCCGAATACTATAGTGCA